TTTCCAACCTTAATGATTCTATGACTTTGTAGATCTAAAACTTAAGTATATTTATGATGTACCGATGTACGGATGAAAACGCTCAAAAGTTCAGGTAGCTATGTTTGCATTCCAGTTTTAGCATTTATAGATCGGGCAGAACACAAAATTTCCTTATTAAAGGGCATTAAGACATGCAGCAAAAAAATGTTTAAATCCTAGGCCACCTACCAGTATTATCAGTCATCAAAGATATCTTTTGTTTATACCAACAATATAATTCCAGAAACTACTGTATTACTAACGATTGTCCTTTTCCAATAGGTCTTAGTATAAACAGATCAGTACAAGTAGATAAACAGAGTTTTAGATCACTGCTGCTGTCACAGTACCAAACTCAGGAAACAGAAAAAAGTCCAATTCAGCTAACAAAGGTATGAAAGATCTGGATCCAATCCCTTGTTTAAACTCTCAACTAAACTGTATGTTATTCCCCAAGTTTCAGTAATATGCCTGAATAGCCTGATCCATCATCCTAACTTTCTAGGATGTGGATCTTGTGTGAATGTAATTATATTATAAAAAATATGTAGGACAAACATTGTGATACAAAATAAGAATATAATAGTAATAGAAATTAATAATCTTTTTATAAGTATTGCACTGTCTACTTTTAAAAGTCACTAAACAAGTATTCCCTCATTATTTTTACCTTTAATTGCCAATTATAGGAGAAAAAATCTTCCGAAGATAAGAATCAAAAAGCTAAAGCAAATGAAGCATACACAGATGCCCAATGTACAACAGAAAAGCAATCAACCAAGAAAATACCAAAGCCAGAAACTTTTAATAGAACACATAGAGGTATATTTTAAAATTTTTCTCAGAAATTCATTTGATCTTTTCAAAAGTTGAATGAACCGATGGTGTTGGTAATTTACATGGGTCTGACAGCCACTAGCTGGTACCTGACTGACAGGAACTAGCTCAACAAAATAATATATTAAGCGTCACTGAAATCCAGCTGCTGGCGGTGCTGTGCTGACAGCAGAGCAGCTCCACAGCACAAGGCATCTTCATACTGCTGTACTTCTAAACGGAGTTCCTGGTCACGTTGGTAAAAAGTCAGTGCTTTAACTGTAAAAGTATACTTCAGTTAATAGCTTGCTAATTCCACACTAATCAAATACTGATCTCAAATTGTTGGTTGTGAATCTTCATCATAGCTGATGTCAACATATGTTTCTGGCTCAGGATCTATTGCTGAGAAAGGAAAAGGACTTCTTCAAGGGCTGGGAGTACCTCCTCATTACAATGACCACTGTAAATAGATTTTATGTGAATCTTAGCCATTTATTGTGTTCTTATATAATGGTTATATGCAAAGGACTCATCTAAACACCTTTATTTTGAAGAGATTCTATAGAACAGAAGAAACCAATGCATCTTTTCCTTTATCTGAGGTTTCTTTCTACAAATATTAATGTTCTTTTCATTATAGTAAGGCTATAGTGAGTAGAAAGAACCAAGATCTGAATGCCATCAGGCTAAATACTTCACAAATGGTAGGAGACCTAAAGGTCACACATTTACAGAGGTGAAACAGGTTGTTGAGGTCACTTACTAGATCAGTAACAGAGCTAGTAATTTGGAATGCGTTAACTCCTGTATTTTTTACTCTGCCTTTTCAGCCTGCAGCCTTTCCAGGCCCCACCAGATAACTGAAGTCACCATTTGTCTTTGAAATCTCCTTCTAAAACTGACAGAAAACACAGGTCTTCTGATTTTGCCTGTGAATCTCTCTCCTCACTGTTTGCCAGACTCTCTTCTGGCTTTCTCCCACTGCCGATACGAGACTTATTTATTGAAGTCTTATTTAGCTATTTTAATTATTGCAACTTCATACTTCTCCTTTAAGCTTGGACTCTATCTCATTTTGGAGGTACTCTGAGTCTCTCCGAAGCACAGAACCTATCATAATTTGTCCCCTGCAGCAGACAAATGTATTTACTGTAAGCATTCAGTATACACATACCTTTTTCTACTAAAAAGTGGAGCCAATTCATTTATAGGTTAGAGAGTTGCAGTATATTCTGCTCCACGCAACAAGCAACTGTGTTGTCAATTCAGGGAGAGAAAATCATACAGATATTTAAGTTCCATTTAAAACCAAGAAAATTACAATTAGAGTTTAGATCTCATATGGTTTCTCTGTTGCATTGTACATGACTTTTCTGGCCCTATATTTAGCCTATAATTACTGATTATATTTGCATGCTAATCCATTTAACAAAATTAAACATAATGAAAAAGGTAAAAATAAAGATATTTACCTGGATTCAATGGCACAATGATCTTGTTTAAATCTTGCCCCATCCTGTTATATTTATTAGTGAATAGTATTGTCGTAACCCTCAAGACTGAAATACCATCAATAATAACGACTTAAGCAATGAAGTAAGGAAGTAAAACTTGCTCTCAGTAATGCTTCATGACTCTTTATGTTCCTAGGCAATTTAAGAACATTCCTAAAAACCACAATATTTCATTTTAGAGTATTTAAGGGAAGGCAGACTACTGATGGAAGAATACACTGGCTTGGAATTTATGAAAGAAGAAGAAAAAGAGACAGATTTGCTTAAACAGGAGCTGAAAAAAATGGTGAAAACTGAACAAACTCCTCTAAGTGACGGTGTAAAAGAGAACAATAAAGAGGAAGATGCAGTGAAAGAATATGCAAAAGAAGAAAAAAAGCCAGATGAACAGCTGAATAACAGTGAGAGGGCAGGGAGTAAATGTGTAACTCCAGGTCCAAGAAACAAAACACTCATTAGGCTGAAAAAGCCCCCCATATTCTCAGAAGCCACTGAGAATTTGCATCATGGGCTTCCTACATCAGGTACAAAATCCAGAAAAGGCAGCCTTTGCACCCATAGACGTGCAGGTCGGGACTGCAGTGAAACAGCTGAATCAAAAGTGAAAAATTCCTTTGGGCTATATGAACCATCTTTTGGTAGTTACCAAAACAAGGCGGAAGGACAGTTCCACTGAAGCGGAAGGCTGCGCTCATATGACATTTGCTGACAGGAAAAACAGTCTTATGAAAGAACTCTTTGGACCGGGCTGTGTTTGAAGAGACACCCATTCAAGTTCTAACATGAGGGGAATGAAGAAAGAGAAGTGAAAGGATGCAGGATTACACAAGCCAAATTTCAAACCACCGCTACTAACTAGTTCATAATGTAAAGCATCTAACACTAATGAAATCGTCATGAGAATACACAAACTAATTATTTTGATATTTAGTTAAGTACATCAACTTCTCTTTACTCTAGAAATATGGATCATTTAAAACATTTTTTAAAAAAGAGTGTTTTTACCTTCATTAAACGCACATTGAATCTTACAAGTGCTGAGAATTTCTTTCAATGATTTTTCCAAAATGGTAGTCAAATCAGTTGTCACAAAAGAAAATTCTTCTGTTCTTGGTCCGTGTGCGTGCATATGCCTCTTAGTAAGAGTGCCTTAACAATTACGACACTTTTACCTGTTACCAGGTGTCGGAGTTAGACTTTGTTTTGTAATTTCCATTTTTTTGCATTCTCTCTGCAGTTTGAATTTTGAAGCTGATTATTTGTTAGCTAACTGAAGTGAGCAATCTGCTTTCATAAGGTTCATTATTGGGTTAGTGCCAACAATGCAATAAAAAAAAATTTTTTTATTTTCTTCACTCCTGAAATACCTTCCAGAATTCACACACAATAAAAATAATTTGCTATTACGCTGTTTTCACTAGCGTTATAAAGCTCTAAAGCTTCATTCTTTTCCAGTTAGAACTTATCAAAGCAGTTTGCCTGGTAACTTCCACAGCTGACATCCAAAGATGAATGTGCAAGAGTAAACTATTGTTTTGGAGAAGTCAGGCATATCCAGTTCTCAAAAAGCCTTTAAAAATCCTGTGTTTAAGGTTATGTAAGCGAGGGTAGGAGGATTATGTTTTGTTCCTCGTAGTAATTCATGAAACGTTTGCTAAAATGTGACGTTAGGGAAAACTATGTGTATTCTATTAATTTTAAAAGATAGCAGCACTTAAAAAAACACTTCAAAAAATTATACCGCAAAAGGTGGTTAAGACATTCAGATCTGAACCTACTTGCAGCATATTTCTTTTCAAAATTTCGAAGGGTTTTCTTGAAGTGGTGCTTAAGCTGTACAGCGGACAGGTTTCAAAGAATGACTTCGTGTAGTCAGGAGGGTAGGTGTTTCTCCTCTATGAACCAATACTTCTACAGTGCCTTTACCGCTGTCCCAAAGCTGAGAGCAAACAAGCATACATAATCCAACGCTCCTCTGCTTGGGCTGACTAGATGACCAAAAGCCTTTTTGCTCTTACTCACCCAAACGCTTGACCGCACTGCATACCTGATGACCCCGTGCCAAGTGTGGATAAGCAGCAAATGCCATTGTGAAGATTTTAACTGATGCTGCTCTTCTTGACTTCGCTGTATTAAACTCCGTAACAAGCTAAGTAGAAATATCATTTACCACATCTTTAGATTCAGAAATATGTCAACGACATAGTTAAATAACCTGTCCCGAATACTTAAAAAAAAATAATAAATTGGGCCTGTTGATTCCAGCAGTATCTCCTTACGCAAGAACATGGGGGGGGTGTTGTTGGTCTGGGTTTTGGGGTTTTTTTTTTTCTTTTTTTAGGAAAACTGTAATTAACAGTGAAAAACGGATTAGAAAACTTGAGATGGGTTGAAAAGCTTTATTTCATTAATAAAACCGCAATTACACATAACATTCAATCACAACGTTTTTTCCTTGACGAAATTTAATGCATCTATTTTCATGTTGGCTAAATGTAATCCCTAATATAAAACCATTTTTTTTTAAATTAACATTTAAAAAAAAAAAACATTTCATGCATATATACATAGACACACACGATGTATCATGACCTTTTGAACTAATTTCTAAAGGCAGTGCTAATTATGGAGGGGCCCTAGCCCCTTCCTGCAGGAAGGCAAAGGGCCTGAAATAACATGACAGACGCATTCCACTGTACAGAGTGGGGCGCTGAACCAGAATCGCCAAAGCCCAGCAGAAGAGGGAAAGGTGTCCCCTACAGCTTTGTTCAGGCTCATGTCAAAAAAAAAAAAAAAGGCGGCCTGGAACGAGAACTGTGTAAACCACCCATTTGTCTTAGGGGACAGCAATGGCAGGGTTGCAGATACTGCTGTAGCATGGAAGACAACGCAACTTTGTCACAGTTCTACAGGCACGGCACTAGGAAGAATTCCACCTTCAAATTCCAAATATTGTGGCTGTTTCCTGTACCTAAATACAGCAAGAAGGATTTACTCCAAAAGAGAAAATTGTTTTCCCTCCTCCTCCTGCTTGCTACCATTCTGCTACTACTTCAGACATTTAAATCACTGATTTGCCTTTTAACATTTGCATAGCTGTTTCCGGCTATCCTGGACTGTCATTAGTATATGCTAAAGCCCTTAGAAATGTAGTCCTCTGAAGGAACAGCACTGTCTTCTACTTTCTCTTTCTTAACCTGGAGCTTGAGAAGGTTGGCCAGACCTTTCCTCCCAAAACATGGAAGGAAATAGTTTCAGTGATCCTCACTCAGTTTGGGAAGCGGAAAAAATGTTAAGGAAGGAAAGGTCAGTAATCAATAAAACTAGGAAAAAATTGAAGCATTTTCAATGAATTTTAAAAGTCAGGGAAGAAAAAGTAGCCAGCCATCCTGTATTTGGCAACTGAGTGAGTCTCTTAAGGGTTGATTCTGTGTATATATCAGTAACACATTTTCTAAGACAGCCCGAGAACACACCAATTCTCGTGTGAAAAATAACAAGGAGGAAACTAATTCTGTTTTACGCTAAGCCAACCAAACCACCTACCTCTATCCTCTAGCACCACTTGTCACCAAATACAAACCCACCTTTGGGTCAAACTGCCATATTATACAGCGAAGAAACAGCAAAGCTCCCAAATTAATTCCTAATGCAAGTGCATTTCCAACTTAAAAACACAAATCCAACACTTTTAGATTTTGGTGAACATATGCCATGACAAAGTCTTACGGTTCTGCCATGAATCAGTGTTCATACTTGTCGACATAGACACAAAATGAGGTTCTATAAACAGCAATGCTATTCTTTGAAAACTGACCACCAAACCGAAAAACAAATTAAGGAAAAATAAAATAAATCGAAAGAAATACTGACTGATATCCAAATGAAGTAACAAAGATTATCTCAGACCTAGTCTCATGAAAGACAACTGTTCTTTTTTTTTTTTTTTTTTAAATTAATTTAAAACAGTGATAATGAAAATGTAGTTGAGGGCTCCATGGAATACTGAGATTCCTTCAGCTGAAAGGGTGTAGCATGATAGCTACAACTTTATTACAAACCACAAGCCAACATGTAATTCCAACACCACCTGAAAGAGATAGAAAAAACTATTTAAGTCATTGCATCAATAACCCTGAAGCACACAAGCTTCTGAAAACAACTTTGGAAGTGTGAAAAACGAAACTTAAAGAGTTATGAGGTGAACAGGAACAAAACATCTTTCTTTTTGTATACAAATGTCTCCCTTCAAGGGATGGCAGCTAACTCCATGCTGGTCCCAAGAAAATCTGAAGGTTGTCCGTGGAAAAGAGTACCAAATAACATGAATATGAGCCAAAGTGCAGCATATACAACCCACAGCTTCTAAAAACATTTGCTATGTACCTAATAGAAAATGTCTAAGGCATGGCAAGTAATGGAATACTTTGCTAGAACCTAAATTCAAGATTTGAGATAGGTAAAAAGTAAACTTCCTCCGAAATTTAAATCACTCCTTTTAGAAGTATGAAATCCATACTTCTCTCCTTTCCCCTTGCTCTCCACACAGCTATATAGAAAAACACTACTGAGGCCTTCGCTACTGACCCAGACGCCTTGCACTGCTGTTTTAAAGCCTCCTGTCATTCCAACTAGCAGCACAGAAATTTGCATTGGTATGGTGGAAAAGAGGGTGTGCCCTGACCGTAATACACAGCACATCCATGTTGCAGATGACATAGAATCATCCTACATAGTATCATGGAATACGTAGCTATTCATAGCACACATGTGAAGAAACTACCTTTCTGGTGATTTTTAGACATTTTTTCGCCTAGAATTCAAAAGCGATCTTTTTACTGTGATTATCAGCCAAGACAAAAAAGGAGATTTGAAGGCAGACATGGATGTGAACCTTTTTAAATCCCTTCAAATGCTATTTAAATAATAAGGACTATTCCCCCACCCTGCACAGAAGCAGACTCTTCCCTTGTCCAGTAAGCTTGCTGGATACAAATCATTCTCTAGACAGATAGTAAAGATACAAAAACATACAATTCCAACATATTTTGGAATTCCTTCTAAGGCAGTGGGGACTTACAAGCCTAACATGAAGATTCACCAGCAGCATTAATGGTAAATTTCCACACTACATTGTCCTGTCATTCTGCCTGTCTACTTATCCCGTTCGCATAGAGCCAGCACGCTTTTCACTCAGAAACAGGTATCTACAGCCTGTGATATCGTTCTGATCATTAATTCGTTAAGCTGCCCAAAAGAAAAGGATTTAAGTAGGTAAAAATGCAATAGAAGTGCGATGGGAAAAAGGGTAGGAACGGACAAGGCAAAATGCCAAGAGAGAGCATACCTAAATCGTTCCGGAGTTACACTACTATGAAACCCCAGCAGTTTGTAAGAAACACATGTAAGCAATACAGACCTATGAAGTATTTGCCCACTTTTAAACCCAATTCTGCTATTCCAGTGGATTCCTTAATATAAAAACATTTCTGATTTGAAATCTTCTCCAGGGTCTGTTTCATATTAAGATAAAGCTGCGCTGTTTGAGAAGAAATAAAATAGGCCATTTCATTGAATACATAGGAAACAGCTAATCAATCATATGTTTGAAACACCTCCCTGTGTTTCGGGAGTTAGAAGAAACGTACAGAAGCAGTGCTTTTAATCTATGGATGCTCTTCATCACTACATTGTTAGCATCCGCATGGGCTTGGGAAATGTATTTTTTTCTACGGTACAGTCCTTACCTGCCACCCCC